GACGTAGTGTAGACAGAGTGGTAATGACGTAGTGTAGACAGAGTGGTAATGACGTAGTGTAGACAGAGTGGTAATGACATAGTGTAGACAGAGTGGTAGTGACGTAGTGTAGACAGAGTGGTAATGACGTAGTGTAGACTGAGAATGCTGCTGTTTTCAGGGGTTAGATCAGAACAACTGATTTCAGATGAGAATTCTCTGAGCCTTGTTCTTTCTTGTAAACAGCACACACACACACACACACACACACACACACACACACAGACACAGACACACAGACACAGACACACACACACACACACACAGACACACACACAGACACAGATACACAGACACAGACACACAGACACAGACACAGACACACACACACAGACACACACACACACAGACAAACACACACACAGACACACACACACACACACATATACACACACACAGACAGACACACACACAGACACAGACACACACACAGATACAGACACAGACACACACACAGATACACACACACAGACACAGACACACACACACACACAGACACACACACACACAGACACACACACAGACACACACACAGACACACACTTATACACATACATACACACACACACACACACACACACGTTTACCCCCCCCCCACACACACACACACACACACACACACTCAAGGGCTGTAGGAGACACATGACAGATGTAGATTCATATGACTTATTCTCTAATGTCTTTAGTGCTCACGCAGTACTGTGGAACGGTGCAGCCAGCCACGGCTCATAATGGCCTTTCATTTTTCATTGTTGTTCTTGTTGTGGTGGCGGAGTCCTCCTTGGTGCTTTCATTTGGCTTGTTTGTCACAGGATGAATAAACGGTTTACTCCAGCCAGACTGTAGAGTTTAAAAGCACAGTCTGGCTCTAATAGGAAAGTGATGTGTAGAAGGAGACATTGAATTAGGATTAGTGGTTAAAGGAAATGTGTACAGGGGCACAGTGTAAGGCCTCCAGTCTAGTGGCACCTAGCACAATACAGGTATCAACCACATTCATTACATTGCCTAAAGAGCAGAGAATGCTTGGCCAGGAAACTGTTACTTTAATTGTTTTATAATTCTAGAATCGGTGTGGGTGGAGCTCTCCCAAAGTGGATGGGTTATTGACACTAGTAATGGTATTCCGCCACCAATGGCACAGTGACAGCTTTCTTCTTAAAACTTGAGGGTCCGCGGCCTGTGTGTTCCTGCCATTGCCTCGGGATTGCTTTCCAGTTTGAGGAAATTACTCAATTTTGAAGTGAGGCTCCACTGTGGCTACGGCGATATCAAGTTAATCACCCATCATCTGGAACAATGACAGAGCTGTCACTTAAAGTCCTATCCATCAAGATTATAAAATATCACGCCCCTGAAACTGTCATTAAAGCTCATAAGTGGGACTTAATGACTGAGTGGTTGACGTTTCTGCTATCAGAGATTTCCTCAGTTGTTTTCTTTTTCCCAATACACGGGTCGCTACACCGTCAAAATATATTTGCAAGTATAATTAAGATAACTTGTATGTTATATAAGGATTTTTCTCAAACTTCTAGAAACCCTATTATTTTAGCTGACTGTGATTTGTTAAGCTAGATAATGACATATTGCAAATGTAGTGAAGACATGCATTGGTCACCAAACGTGCTATGTGGTTAGATAGCCAGCCACCATTACTCTCTGAACTCTTTTACTTACATCACTACATATGATGTGATTATTGTGGTAATGTAGTTGAACCCCTTGTTGTGGTGATTTATAACTGGAATGAGCATGAGTGACATTATCCAGTCAAGCTCTTTGGAGGGAGCAGTAGTCAGATAGTGAGAATACAGTTTGGCTGGCTGTGTGCGTTCAGTAACAGCCGTCATGCCTCTGTTGTCCTCATTTAAGGAGCTGCCACTCAATGTGTTATCTCTAGAAGGAGCTCATTTTAGTACAATATCTCTCATAGTCTCCTTTTAGTACAATATCTCTCATAGTCTCCTTTTAGTACAATATCTCTCATAGTCTCCTTTTAGTACAATATCTCTCATACTCTCCTTTTAGTATTTATTGTTATTTATTTTATTTTACCGTTATTTTACCAGGTAAGTTGACTGAGAACACATTCTCATTTACAGCAACGACCTGGGGAATAATTACAGGGGAGAGGAGGGGGGATGAATGTGGCAATTGGAAGCTAGGGATGAATTGGTGGCCATGATGGTATGAGGGTC